CCAGTGAGCTGGATTCTCTATATGTTGGATTTGATTTTTGAAATCATTGCTTCTTAATCTGTAGATGGTTCGTGGGTAGGAAAGTTTTCGACTTTTTAGCTATTGTATATAAACCTTGAAGGAACGAATGAATTGTAACTTTGGTTAGTTGACTTTTGATTGAATTGCTTCCTCGACTTGTGGAAATGGTGGTTTTTGTTCTTGATGTTTGATCGGATGTGATTTTGGAAGACCGTGATTTTTTTTTTTTTGTGTGGACTCAATGGATTTGGAGAGTGAAAGCTCTGCGCTTGAGTCTGTTGATGATAATAGTATGACCCAACAAAGTCCCATTGATGATGGTAGGAGTTTGGATAACGGGTCATGCTCAGATGAGAGTGTGAAACTGGTTTCGACTTGTACAGAGGGAACCAGTAAGATTGATGATGTCAGTAGACCGGTGAGTTTTGATTCACCAGGTGGTGCTATTGCTTACTCTCCAATTTCAAAGGGACGTGGTTTGAGAAAATGGAGGCGGATCAGGAGAGACCTTGTTAAAGACACGTCTGCGAATATGGAGAATAGTAAAGCTCTGAAGCGAGTGTTTTCGGGTTCTGCTCATTCAAATGGTAAACAAATCCAGGTTCAGTCACCCAAAGCCGAACAAGAGAGTCAGGGATCTGTTGGGTCTGTGAATATGTTGAAAAGTAGCGGTGATGCTTTTGAGATACTTGGGACTGGTTATGATTCTAGGTTTGTGGCTGGGGTTGGTTTTTCAGCTGATATGGATTTAGAGAAGGATGATGATCAGAGTAGCAAGTCCTCGACGGCTGCTAAAGCCCCCAAGGGTTTTAGGTATGAGAAGCCAATGATTAGTTCAGGTCAGAGAGGAAGCATTTGGGTAGAGAATAGTAAGAAACATAGAGGAGAAAATGTTGAAATTGAGAAGGAAAACTCTCATTCCAGCTTGGAATCTGACTCAAGAAAGCAGAGTGGAAGAATGATGGACTACAATGAAGGATATATGAATGGAGAAACTTCAAAGAAAAAAGATGATGCGGGAGGAGAAGGTGAAGAGTCGATAAACCAGGACAGTCTCTATTCAGAGGAAATGGATCCATTAACAGAGGCCATCGACGGTTTCCTCACCTTGCAAGAAGCTCTTGAAAAAGGTAGCCATTCTGATATTCTTGTTGCGGATTGTAATTAAACTTGGGATTATTTTTACTGCTATTTCCATACCCATTTCTTGTTTTGAGTCTGCATTGTCATGTTGGAATCAACCCATAACATCAAATGAAAACTTGCTTACCAAGTTTAACGTGACTCTTTCCATTTGCAGAGGTTCAGCTATTCTGTGGGATTGGCAAGGAACCGATACATCATGAAGGAGCCAGTGAAGTAAGCTCACCTTGCTCGGGGACTGAAACCCTTGTGAACAATGTCAAACAACTGGAGACAAAACTAGAAGAGACAAGGTCAATGCTTGAGGTGAAAGAAACACATATCCGTGAGCTTAAATCCACCACGAATCAAAACAGACACTCATGGGGAGGAACAGAGACGTTGGTGGAAGATCTCTTCAGGCAAAGGATTGAGTCCGAGATTCAATATCTTATATATTCAAGATCCATTGATAACTTGAAAAATCAGATGAAGTCGATTGAAGAACAAGAGGCATTGGCAGAAGAGGAAGCTCATGAGATGCTGAACAAGCTCGGAGAACTAGAAACTAAGGCTGCAAATTTAACAAACAGAGCTAAAGACCTGCAAAAAGAGTACAGAGATATTAATGGAACCATCAAGAAGAGAGCATGTAAGACCGCTTCATGCTTCGTTATACAGTTTGTATTGTTGCTAACAGTAGTTTTATTGTTCATGTCTCAATTGTTCTTGGAGTCGGATATTGTTGTACCCACATGATCTTTTTGGTTTTGATGCAAACTGAGTTTTTTTATTTTGGCTTTTCGCATATCTTGTTACCATTTCGGCTCTAACTTTTACCTCTAATATTAGAATTAAATAACTAATCAACGATAAGTCTGTCATAAACTATAACCATAAGAGGTGAGATAACATACG